CGGCGTTTTGTGCTACAAACTGAAAACAGGCGGATCTAGCCTAATTCGGCCCCGCTGAAAACGATGCCCCTGTTGTCAGACCCGATTTTCTCATTTAAGCCCCCAAATCCAAGATGGCTGCCGAAATTGCCGTTTTTCGGTTATTTCGAGCCCCCAAGGCACGCCGCTGAAAGTTTTGGGTACTTTAGGGGTAGAATAACATATAGTACACCCGTACGTAAGTGCCCTGTATAAATTTTTGATTTGGAAAATGATTGCTTGAAACTATAACGGCAGTTACATGTGTTGAGATAATATTTAGTCACACTTCACCTATTGTACAACTCCAAAATCATTTTGCATTGTATGCCCAATGTTTATATGTAAAAATCCAAATTACTTACTGCATTTTAACCGGTACCTAATCTGTGCTTGTCAAAATTCACCCTTAACTTTTTTGCTTTCGGTACTAGGCACTCTTCTACTAACCATTTGGAATTTTTGGAGACCATTCCGCACAAGATGCACTGCACTTCGCGTTAACACGATCGAATGATATGATCATAAGTTATATTTTTGATGGAGGGGCGGTAACGTAAGAAGGTAAAGATTAATCACCTGATGCGCTTATCTGCACATGCGGTCACTTTTACCTTTCAATAATTGTTTGCCGTACCGAATGAAGTCGTTCCTGATAAAATATGACAATTTTTTAACCCATTAGATTGTGTTCTAAATTTTCATTCTGACATGGAAAAAGTCACAATCTAACTTTGCTTGTCTAATTTCCAATTGCATTTTGTCACTGAAATAGCTTTCTTTGGCTCGTTCAAAAATAAACTTTGGCTTCTAATTGTTTTACTCAATATTGCCACGCAGTATTTATTATATTTTTTATTTTTATTATTAATGTATAACACCTGTGAGAAGGTGCGTGACGAAACGTAGTAAAGTATTGGAATGTAGTGCCAAAAGCAAGTATGGGGAAAAATTTAAGAAGATTTCGAAAGGATTTCTAAGGATTTATAAGGAATTTTATCCGATTTCAAAGATTTCCGTGGATCTCCAGGAATTGCCGGGGTGCTTACGGGATTTCTTTGATCGCTTGTAAACATTTTTCTATTGGACCGATTTTGTTTGTTCATCTTTTGATCGACGCAGAATTGTGTTTTCTTTAATTTACTAAAGAAGTGTTATTCACAAAATATGGACCATTTTCGAGTTTTGTGCGAAAAAAAAGTCCGAACATTTTGAGGTTTTTTGGCTCCCAAAAGTTGTGCCGGGAAAAAATTTGCGTGTACTCTTCAAATACCTGTGATTTGGATCCAAATGGACCATGTAAAACGATCAAATCGTTTACACCACCTTTTGCAGGAATCGGCCCTTCTGACTGCTCCGCATACTGGACTAATTGAACACTAATATGCAAAATGAAAATCTTTATGGAAATCATTTTGCGTTTGCAACTTACCCACCACCATACTTTTTTTTGGGAGCTTGTTCACGTTGCACTGAAGTTAAGAAGTTACTTGAAATCTGTAAGATACGGCACAAGTGGTATTAACGCCAGGCCAGCAATAGCGAGACGGTAGCCATGGTACTGGAAAGCGTTTTCCTCCTTTCTCCCATGGTTATCATCCGCAGTTAAGCCCTTCAGGTGTACAACATCCAGATTCGTAGTCGCAATTCGCAATTTATTGCTCCGGGCCACCGAAATGGGGAATGAGCGGCCAGTGTAGTAAAAATACGGCAAAAAAACGACTTTTTCACTGTTTCAAACTGTCCAGGCGTCATATATTGGTATTTAGGCCCCAGGCATATGGCGCTACTGTTGGAGGTGTCTACATACAAATGTTAAGTTTACCATAGAAATAAATATTGGGCGTCGAGAATAGGTCAAAAAGAAAAAAATAGACTAAAAATAGCGAATTTTGCATTTTAACGTTTTTAAGCGGCTTTTTGGCCGCTGCGCGTCGTGCCCTTAAACTCGTTGCACGCGCTTTAAAGACTTGATTATACACTTGTTTCTTAATATACTATTTCTGGTTAAAACGCCATCTTATCTCGAAACAATTACCCCTGCAATTACCTTTATCTTTTCTAAAATAAGCGAGCTGTCACAAGCGCATTAACGAAGCAAAATTGAAGTTTTGGAGTCGTGTTAGATGATATTGTCTTAGTTGACCACCAAGTTTTGTAGGGTAGCTGTGTACATCTGAAGGTTTTGCCTCGGGTTTTGTAAAATGATGTTCATTGTTGAAAACTATTATTGATATTAGTATCTCTACAATGCTTGGCAAGTTTCATGTCCAATTTATTGCTTGTTTTCGTATCTTAAATAGGCACAGTTTCCACAAAATTCCACTCCGCAGGATAACAGACTTTTAAAGGACGAATAATATACTTTCATGGCAGCACCCATACAAATAATTATGGGGCTGCTTAAGTACTTCCCCACACCAACATTACCTTTTGACGTTCACATGAATTCAGTTCTCTTCTCTCCTTTTAATATTTTTCATTACCACCGACTCAATCACTAGATCTAGGGATAGCAAAAATCGTAAAAAAGATAATTACAATACCCACGCGGAAAAATATTAGAATCAACAACCACAAATTGTGAAAGTAGATTATAGTTTAAGGCATTCATCATACACGATGATCCCAATAGCACTAGCGAGTATGTAGAACAATTGACCGAGAATGGATGATGCAATTATCTCTTGCAACTTATATACGCACGAGCGTTCGAAAAGATCGAGTTTCAAACATTTACCCGGCCTTAGTATCTGTTTTTACGTTATTTGTGTAAGCAGTCAGTATATGAAATGAGTAAACGTCAAATGACAACTATTAATGACATGTATTTTTCAGCAGTTTGTATAATTATTGCATGCTATAACATTCTTCATGTTACAAGTTCCACAATGGATGGTAAGTAAATGAACTAATGACCAAATCAAAAGAAACTGCAAGTCAACGTATCAACTGAAGCTTTACAATTGTAAGGCAGGTATACACGAAGCATCGATGAATACGAACTAATTATACCAAGAAAATTAGAAAACGATGGACGATTCAAGACGTACCAAATACCTCATTATTTCGACCGCGAAGAACTTAAGGCACAGAATTCAAAGGCAGAAGAAGTATTTTACTTGGTTACGTTCGATGGAACTCACAATCATTTGGAGTTGTGGCCAAATCATCGCTTTGTATCTAACGATGCGATATTTGAACGGAGAGAACCCAACGCAAACGTACAATCCAGAAATATACGGAAACAGCATGACAGTTTGTGTTACTACCACGGAAGAATTAAGAATAAACCTGGCTCGCGCGTTGCATTATCCACATGTTATGGTCTGGTAAGCGTTTCTACCGGCTTTCACTTGTAGCTGTGTTAAATTTAGGCAGGTTACATCGTAATGGACGGCAGGCGATACTTTATAGAACCTGCTGCCGAATATGAGCCGAACGGAAGAGGGCAGCAGCTACATTTGGTGCATAAAGGGCGCGAGGACACTGAAAGTAAACGAGGACAGGAAGGTAATTGTGGTACGTCACCAAATTGGGAGGATGCTTGGAAACTGAGGTTCTATGAGGAATACTCGAAAACACCCTTCAGTAAGAGAAGTAGTCTAATCAGTGTACCGAGATATTTGGAAACACTCGTGGTCGCAGATAAAAAGTTCTTAGAATATCACAAGCACACCGATCATGACAGCTATGTCTTAACTATTATGAACATGGTAAGTTTTTGCGCTCTATTCCCCTATATTAAACGTTCACTTGGACTTTACCCGAAAGGCCGTAATCTGATAGCGTTGTGCTTTTCTTATTGTATTTCGTTATAAAAGTTACCAAAATCTGAATAAGCGGTAACTTAAGCACGCAATCGTCCAATCCCAACTCCTTTGTAGTTCACAAAGGTATATCTGCATACATTTTACAAACTTTTTATCTTATACTACCACGTTCGCGAATTGCGGGCACACCATACAGGAGAATAAGCCCCGGTTTGTATACATTAAAAGCTTAAAACCTACTTTTTACAACGCTACAAATTATTTTCTTTTGTCTCGTACATACAAGAAGAAGAGAGTCGAAATATATTATTCTTATCTCTTACGAGATGTACAATTATATTGTTTTCAAGATATTTCGTGCGGTCGTTTTGTTAGATTTAATTAAATACCTTTTTTAACATCGCCTCCCATTATTCTGTGAATTATAGTCTATTAATCAATTTTATGAATTATTAAATTTAATTTAGTTTGTATGAGAAGCGAATGAAAAGGATGGAAAAAGTCATCCAACAAAAATTTCATTTCCCTGCAGTAAATGCAATTATTACATGCGTCCATTATAGTTTACTCTAATTAAAATGAGTTACAGGACACAAAACCAGGTTTCTAGTTATATAATTCATGCCTCGCTTACGTACACTGCAGTAAAATCGTTATTATACATTTATTAAATCGGATTGGAACCAAGTACCTTCTTGTTCGTGACCGAATTTTACTCCACTGCACCAATCTAGACCAGCGACATTTTAGTTCAGGTTTTGTAGCTTGACTTTCCCACAGCTTTGGAAAACATTAACAACGTCTTGTGTGTGGCCATCGTCTCATGTGTACTAATAATTAATTTGAATGGAGTTTTACGAACTTCGAATCTTATGTTATCCTTGCTGAGTTAAGAGTTGTGCCATAAATATTAGTACTGCTATTCCTTAGCTTCAATCAGGGAAGTAAGAGAGGGTAAAGCTCACTCTACTACACTTGACACTAAAGACTTCCATATACGTTGAATTCACGAGCAGATATGCTACCCTTACACGATTTTTTAGATCTCATATGAGCGTGTACTATAGTCACGAACTAATAAATTAAGATGGACTGCTTATCAAACAGTGTTGCATAGAGGCAGAAATGGCCCTAGCATGGGCGCGGCCATGATGTGCACGCTGCACGTTTTAGTTATTTTCTAGGGGAATTTTCCTAGTGCTCAAGTTTTGAGACTATTGCAGCCTTGGAAAGTGACATGTGTTACAGTAATTTATTTAGAAAACAAAACGTCAGGTTAATGCTTGTTTATTAGTTGATTTGAATTTCGCGCCAAGTGAGTGCACATCATGGCCGCCCCCATGGTGTCATTTGTCAATTCAGCATTAGCAGTCCATTTTAATTTAAGTTCGTGACTATAGTCCATAGAATTAAAAGGCATAATTTTGATGTTGGAATGTATCTTGGCAGATCTAATAGCTTTCTTGTACTTATAATAAGTGATTTGTTTAAGATCAAGTAAATTTTGTGTCCTGTGTAAATTGTACAATTCACAATTTCTTATTTTATTGATACGAGGTCTATAAGTGATGATTATACATGCCTCAGTAGTATGACAACTGCGCCTATCCGAAAATTGTTGCCCAAGGTGGTCGAATATAAATGTATTTTACCTTTTTAGGATCATAGCCGTTTAAGGAGATGTTTACAAAATACAAAATAGTTATCCTTTCGATCGGAACTTTAATGGTTAGAGTGTATACAAAGGAGTTTCAAAATTGCCAGAAGGAAAGAAATAAAATGTGGCCGAGGCCACTTCTCAATGTAGTTCAACAAACAAAAAGAGATCTCGGCAATAGAATATTGTAGAACTTTCGGGTTTTCGGCATTATATTTGTACTATCGTGTTATTCCTGCATCGCTTAATCTAAAAGTCATTCCTGAAGTTGATAATTTGTGAATTTCGTTAAAATGTATTAAAACATGGTATAATAAGACAAGGTATGCTTATAACTAAACGCAAATCCGCGCAGATGATGTTCTTATCCCAATGACGTCACAAGAATCACCGCCAAGTTTGAAAATGGCATACGCTTCTTACTTGAATTAGAAGTGCCATTGCAATTACTCAACTAGTGTGTAATAATGATGGATAAATAACTTTGGTGGCAATCCTCGGAAGTGTGTAATAGATGTGCTCTAAAGTGTTTCTTAATATTTGTGATAAAATTACATTGGCTACGCGCATTTTCTAGTCATGTGTGTTCAAGTGCATAAGAGGGGCTCTATAATCTGGTCGGAGTTAAGTTTTGTAAGTGTTTTGGAGCGTTCTGGAGCTACATCCGTAAATGCGACCCCGGAGGCTGTGTGGAAATGAGAAAATAAAAACCTCAAAGTTCGGGGCCAAAGCTAAAGTGACTCTGATGAAGTTAAAGAAGACCGAACCGCATGTGGAGCTCGGTGGCTACACATTCTAGGTGTTGGAGGTGGACGGGAAGATTTCATGGACTGGAGTGAAAGCGGGGCTGTTCCAGGTGCTCCCTAGAAGAAACCGTTTTTTGATAGGTTTTGTAGCTTCTGAAAGAGAGGATGGCGTTGGGAGCTAGAATGGTTTCAGTTACTGAAAGGATCTGTATTTGGTCGAAGTGAAGGAGGTTCTTTATGAGGAGACGTTAGCGGCGGATGCCAAGGAGTTGATGGTACCGACGACCAAACCCATGACGATGACGACGGAGAAGGACGTAAAAGTTCTGCGGTTGAGGAAGGTTGGGAAGCTTGGTAAATTGCCTTATCACTCCCGGAAGGCGTTCGTGATAGAGATGGGTAAAGGTGAGGGCTACGGTACGTAGTAGGAAATCGGGTTTTGGAGGTGATAGGCAATTTATGGGAGTGCGGACAATTCATATGAGACGGACTGGGTTTCCAACGGGTCTAGCGGGTGGAGGGGAGGGGTGCTTCGTCGGTTGGGTACAGATTTGTATGCGTGTAGAGCATTCGGAGGAGAAGTGGTCAATTTTTGTGCACAGGGAGCAATATTTGCGTGTAGAATCTGGGATGTGGGACGGTTCACATTGATAGGGTCTGCGAAACATGGAGATGCGGACGAGGGTGGTAGGAAGGTTCGTTGCACGGGAAACGATCGCGTAGTGCGTGGGTCAATCTGGGGAGAGGTGTGTATTGTAGAAGTTCGAATAGTAACGTTGCGGTCCACATTACGGATAACGCAGAAAAAGGATAGAGGCGTTGCGAACCCTGACAATTGATGCTGGCCGTGGTGTATAAGCATCCCGGGGGGGTGGAACAAGTAGTATGAAAAGGCTTATTAATAAGTTATGTTATTGTGGCAATGCAAAATAAATTTAAGTAACGTAAACTTGCAAAAGCTGTATCCTCTAAATATTCTCATTTACAATCTGCATGTATACTATAAAAATGATTGATAAAAATAAATGATACAAAAAAAATCAAACAATTAATATCAGGCTAATTTTAAATTTTTTAACCAAAGTAGAGGCCTTTTTCTTACTTGATTAATTTAATTAAATAATGTCTAGGACACATAATGTTGAACGCAGATAATAATACAAATCAAAACATTTTTATTAAAGAACTGTGTTTACAGCATTGATGAGTACATGGCTGCCCCTACATGCACAGACATGATTTTTTTATGTTAGTACCTATTGTGAATGTGACGTAATCAAACAATTTTTAAATTGAATGGGTTTAATATAAATTATTATTATTATATTATTATATTATTATTATTAATGCAGTTTTCTGCTTTGCTGTTATTTTAAATTGCAATGGCTGGAAAGTGGGTAGTAATAGGTACAATTCAACCCAATTCTGTACGTTAGTTAATTAATTTATAAGTTATTGAAAAAAACTTTATTTTGCTAATGGAAAAACCATAGTCAGCTGCGGTTGTATTAAAAAGGTCATTTTTAAGGAATCTAACGGTATACCAGTATACTACATAATAATTTTGGTGTCCAATCTCTGTTGAACTCGAAAGGGGGTTGTATGATAATTATTAGAAAGTGAACACAAAACCTTCCCCAAAGTGGGGAAGGTTTTGTGTTCACTTTCTAATAATTATACTACATAATACTTATAATTATTTATTTCAGTACAAGTGAACACATTATGGCCTTACATTTCAATTTTTCAAATTATTTAAGTAGGGGACTATGAAAACAATATAGACAGATGCGTACCTTTCACCTTTTTTTTTTAAAAAAAAGGTACTGCTAATACCTGAGTGAAGTCCGTCTAAAAGCTTTATTTGAGAACTGGTATTGCACAGCTTGCCTAAATGAGACAGTAAATCCAATAAGCAATAACTTCAGTTTTTTTAAATAAATAAAAGTTTCATACACAAAGTGGGCACCACAGAGTGCCCAAATAATTAGGGGCGGGCATGTGTCCACTTACGACCACTCTTGGCTTCGTGCTTGCCTTATAAACCTCTAATTTCAATTTTCAAAAAGGAGCGTGTTCTGTGCATAAAGTGAGTGGACAGCAGAAACACTGTCAAGGATTGGATGTTTTAAAGGCATTTCGGATATCATTTAAAAAGTTTCAAGAGTAACTAGTTTGAGTTTGAGGATAAAACAACCCCTAATTTAGTCATTGTCTGATTTATATCGTTTTGAGTCAAAACTTATATGGCGTGTTCGCCAAGTTTATTCTAACCACTTTGTAATTTTTTACTACAGCAAAAAACCGACAGTTACATTAGTATTCGTTTGTATTAAGGTTTTGTGTAATTAATTATCGCCTTTCCCTTCGTGTATCTAACCTAATTATTGCAGTAAAATAAATTAGGTTGTCGCGTAATCCCTAGTGGCATGTGCGTATAGAAATAAATTTTAAAGGAAATTTTATATAAAAAAAAAACGCGCATAAATTAGTAATATCCAAATAGGTTGGCGTTTAGTGATGAATAGGGTCAAAAAGTCCTTATTCGCAAACGGTGTTGACAGGTGTCCGATTATTACCACGACGCAAGTTCGGGTCATCAGCTACATGTGGTCGTCGTGCGCGTGATGTATTTGGAAAAGGAGGAACAAGAAATTGATCTGGTAATCAACCCGAATGCGGAAGACACTTTGGCAAGTTTCTGTAAATGGCAAGAAAAGGTGAATCCTAAGGATACTCAGCATCCAAATCACCATGACATTGCTGTATTACTGACAAGGTTCGGGTATTAGTTTAGTTAATACTGCGTAAAGAGCGATTGGTTAAATTAGGTACGATATTTGTGCGGATAGTTTGACAAATTGTGGTCTTATGGGACTGGCTTATGTTGCGGCAGCGTGCACTTCTGATAGGCCATGTGCCATCAACGAAGACGGAGGGCTCGTGTTAGGGATTGTGGTGGCGCACGAAATGGGACACGTGTAAGCGTAAATTTAATCGATCACGTTGCGGATTTTAATATAAACGCTCGAAATTTCAGTATGGGCTGTTCACATGATACCGAAGCGGAATCGGGATGTAAACCTCAAGCTCCAGATAATTCATATCATGTAATGTCTCCCTTTGTGCACCTTCATACTACTATTTGGTCGACGTGCAGTAGAGTATTTATGAATGAATTATTTGAGTCAGTATTCTAGGATGATATTAGGCGTTTCCTAAACCTTTGTCTTTAGTAACAATTTGGGGGAGTGCTTAAATGACGAGCCTCAGGAATCGATTTATAAAGAAACGAATATGATGCCGGGAGCTGTTTACGACGCAAAGTATCAATGCAATATGGCTTACCCAGGCTCGGAAGTATGCGGAGGTTCTCCAGACCGATTTTGTAAGCAGTTATTATGCAAAGTGACTCCTACAACTTGCATGTCTAACGGTGAACCACCGGCTGATGGTACTAAATGTGCTGAAAATAAAGTAACTTTTATTTCATATTTAAATATCCTCGCATATCTCTAACTTATATATTTCAGTGGTGCTACAACACAAAATGCATCGAAATTGGAAGTCGGCCAGAAGCTATTAATGGGGAATGGGGCGAATGGAGCAGTTGGACCCCGTGTTCGAGATCTTGCGGGGGTGGACTTAGTTACTCTGAACGTGAATGTAACAACCCGCCTCCGAAGCATAAAGGGCATTACTGTCTTGGGGACAGAAAGAAAGTTAAAATATGTAATACTGTGGTAAACCATTGAGCGGGACTATTTCCTTTGAAGTTTCATGCGTGTACTCATTATAGCTTTGTCCAGAAGGCGCGAAAAGCTTTCGTGCTGTACAGTGCAGTGAATTCGATAAGAAACCGTTTCAAGGCAAACTTCACAAGTGGGAACCGTTTCCTAGGAAAGGTAATGAATGCAATAGTTAGACTAAATATTCAGTTTCACTGTAATTGCACGGTGGGACTATTATAATGCAATAAACGCGGCGAATACATAATTGTTCTAGGACAAATTCGTTATTGTATTCTATAAAAGTATTTCGAAACCGATAGTAAAGTGTACATGTATTTTCCACCCTAATATTGAAAAGGACTTACAAGTGGAAGTGAAAACTTACGAGCTCTTATTGGGCTTAAGGAGGTGCACTGTGATTGTGTATCTTTTTCTTGCTTGCATTTTTCAATTTTTAAAAAAATCAAAAGTGAAATGGTAATGTGCCTATGTGAGCCAGGTGGGAGTTTTAACTAGCGTTGCCAGATTTTTTGGGCTGAAAAAGTCAAATGCTCATTTGGGCAAAAAAAATGGGATATAATTTTTATGTCTGATTATTCAGATTTTACAGAGTATTTTATTCATAATTTGCGGGTTCATCGGATTTTTTTGAGTTTCCCATTCTTTTTAGGTTTAGGTTCTTTCGTTTCTTCAATTTATTTAAATTATTCTCTTCAGGTACTTCGGATGTTTCGCATCCCCTGATTCTACAGACTCATGAGGAGCTTCCCTTTCTCCTTTTCTTCAACTTCTCACGATTCTTGAGATTTTTCAGTTGCATGAGATTCTTAAAATTCTTTGCATTCTCCTTGTTTAGTGCATTTCCACAAAAATTTAAAAAAAAAAAACGCTATTGTGGCCACTTTGTCCGCCCGTCTGTCCATCCCTACGGCTGTATCGCTACGAGATCTTTATCTTCAGAGCTATTGTTGTACTTTTTTCACCATTTGCTTCGTTATGGTGTCGAGACTTGCACCAAGGAAGGAATTTTTTTGCGTCTATTACAAAAAAAATAAATCTTTATCATATACCATAATTTTACACTTTCGCGCGTTTAATGTGCTTATAAATTGTATACGTCAAGATGCTTGTTATAAAATCAAATTGAAATGACGTGTCAAAGAATAGGTTGTGCATTCGTCGCGGTAACTTTCTTATTTGTGGACGGATTTCTCCGAAATTTTAAAAGAAGCAAGGAATGGATTAAATGCACATTAAAAAATCAATTGCACATACGCAAACTAAAAACACGTAAAACAATTATTGCGCATGCCCAGACCTACATTCGTTATTTTTCAACCAATCCTGAAATTTTGGGGTAAAATTATTCTTACAAAATGAAATTAAAGTAGCACTTAAATATGAATTACGCATGTGCAACGCTAACTTTGTTATTTGTGGCCGGATTTTTATCACATTTTAGCAAAAGTGTTTACAGAAGACGCTTATTATAATAGAAAATTGAACACGTATGTCACAAATAGGATTGCTCCTACGCAGCGTTTAGCGCATTTCCACAAAAATAAAAAAATGTACTATTGTGCGCCAGTCCGTCCGTCCGTCTGTCTGTCCCTACGGTGGTGTCGCTTTCAGATCTTTATCTTAAGAGTTAATTTTTTTTGCTACTTGGTTAGTTATGGTGTCGAGGATTGCACTAAAAAAGCAATTTCTGTGGTGCCACTGACAAAAACAGCTATATCAATAAGTCTATTTTTATAAAATGCATACGTTTTTGGCATTTTGATTTTTGATTAGCCAAAATTTAAACATGAAAATTGCACTGCTTTAGCGATCATTTTGAATCAAACAGATCCAAAGTTTGATTGAGGAAATGTATAAATGCACTGATAGAGAAAAATAAAGTTGGCTCTGCTGGAAACCACCATTAACTTTTGGATCATTATTTATATTATCTAGCCAGTTTATAATTTTGTGGTGTCTGTCCGTCTGTCCATCTGCCCGTAAGTACGATATCTCGATAACGAATGAATCGATTACGATGAAATTTGGTAGATGGATTTTTTTATGAAGGAACTAGAAATGCCAGCGACTACGCTGCTGGCCGCTGGCTAGTATAGATACACAAAACAAAAATGTTTCATTGTAATGCCCCGTAACGTATTTAGGCCAGTAAATGAACGTGGAATACGGCGATACTGTATAATTTTCCGCGTTTCCACCGAATCGCATGAAAATTTGGATTTAAGTTCTACTTACCATCCACTTCAAAGTTGAACTTGACCCCAGGGTTGCTTTTACTTGGGGGGTGAATGCCACCCCTTCTCGGGGGGGAAAAAGATACGTTCAAAATAATTTTAGCGGAGCAAAGTGGTTAGTTTTGAAAAAAATGTAGTTTTGAGGTAAAAAAAAAATTTTGAAATTTTGAAAAATTGCCTTTTTTTGCCAAATAATTATTGGTGTATTAGTTTAGTTTACTACAGTAGGCAATTTTTCAAAATTTCAAAATTTTTTTTTTACCTCAAAACTACATTTTTTTCAAAACTAACCACTTTGCTCCGGTAAAACTTACAGATCATATCAACCATACATAAATAAAGTAAACTGTAAAGCGGTAACGCTTAATTACAATTAGGGTGCTAATTAGGGGGTGATTTCATCAATTTTTTTTACCAAAAAAAAAAGGACTAACTTTATTTTGAGCGTAACACACTTAGTTTTGATGCTAGGAACTTTTCTTAAAAACAAAATGAAAGGTTTTTTCAAACACTTTAAAAAAGTATTCATAAGTTTTCCCCGAAAAGTGCTTCATTTTTTGGTTATTTCACGTTGAAGTACTCGATTGGGAATTTGACGAATGAGAACCTACTTTTCATGAGCTACAACTTTGTTTCTACTGCGTCTACAGACTTCATATGTAGACCATTTTGTTTGTTTTTTTATAAGCTATATTTTTGCTAAGAATACTTTTTTCGATACAATACTTACTTTTAGAGTTTTTTGCGAAAAACCGTCTGAAAACGTGGGTTTTTTGTTGAAAAATGAACATTTTCACTCGCAAATAACTCTAATACTATTGACTTAGTGAAAAAACTCTATAGAACAAAAGTTGCTTAGAATTACTCAATTTCCGGACTTATTTTGAACGTATCTTTTTTCCGCCCCGAGAAGGGGTGGCATTAACCCCCCAAGTAAAAGCAACCCTGGGCTCAAGTTCAACTTTGAAGTGGATGGTAAGTAGAACCTAAATCCAAATTTTGAAGCAAATCCGTCGAGGCGCGAAAAATTACAAGGCAAAACGGTCATTTACTGGCCTAATTGTAGAGCGCAGTTTACCACTGGCAGCAATTATGCTACATCCAGCGTGCGTGCTATGTATAACGTGAAGTATATCCTAAACTTTGTTTCAAGGGTGCTGAACCTTTCGTCACACTATCTGACGTCATATCAAAATTAAGGCAGGTCGTAAATTAGTAGTTGGTTTACATATTGTCACATTGACGTTTCAACTTATTTATTAAGGTGTCACTATCGTTCATTATTATCAGACCGTCCAAGTTGACAATCACTTGTAAGGCATCTGGTCCTGATAGGTTTTTTCCTGTCCCCAGGTTTTATAATGGCTAAATGGTCATGTATTTTATGTAGAGGAACTCCGTTGGTATGAATTAAACTCGAGATTAAACTTTTTCCACCGTTTGTAATCACCTCATGTAACTGATTCTTTGCACCGACGACAGTGGAAATGGATACTGCCAGAGCATCAGAAACTCTTTGAGATGAAGTGTATGATGGTTACAGAAAACGCATAGGAACATTTGTAACTTAAAGTTTGTTTAGGCAGTTCGTAAATTAATATTTCGTTTACCTAATGTTGATGTGAAATTAAGCATGCTACCAATGTGAAGAATACGCGTTAAGTTGCGCGAATTTTAATAACCCTTAACTAGCCATTTGCAGAAGTAGAATAGGCCATGGTTTATCGGTAAGCCTTTCGCATTTATATATCTTACAAATTTGAGATAAAGCGTAGTCATTATACCACAGGCTCATTGAAATAACAACGCATACATACAGTTTCTGTTCTTTTGCCACACACTCGAGATATTCGCATAAGGATCTTGAATATCTACTGTTCCGATTTATTAAAAAAAAACGCAATTGTGAGAGAAAACAGGTAGTGAAGATATTTATTCCTGAAAAAACTCTCAAATGTTCATATTCAAATCGTATGTACAAAAGAAAAAAACGCACTACACCACAAGTAGGTATATATGTATAAACGGCCCAAAATAATATTCTTAAACACGCTGATTCTCTTCTGCCTCATGAATATAATCATCATAATAATCTTCGTCACTATCAGATTCGTCCAAGTTGACAACCACCGGTAAGATGTCTAATGTATCAATATGTTGTTCCCGTTCCTAGGCCTGGTTTATAATGCTTCTGTATGATCAAAATATCTTTTCCATTTTTCCGGTGTAACCTAAACAATAAAGTTATTAAGTACTACTGTTTCACAAAACAGCATATAAAGAGGTTACTTTGTGCAGTGCCTCATTCCATAAAGACAAAACGGCACTGTGTGTGACAGGCTGAATTGAACCGATCCTTGCATCGTAATGCCGTTTGCATTCTGACCATACCATTTCGATTGGATTATACTCGCAGTGATATGGAGGAAGTCCCAAAACACGATGACCATGTTGTAATGCTAATTCGTTCAATCTGTAAAAATCAACATGGAGTGAAAAAAAACCATAACAATCAGCTTCCTATCCAAAGGTCTACCTAACTGCAACCAAACATTTAATTATCAGCGATGCCTACCTAAATAGTTTTGGTGGTATATGATTTTTCACTTCTTCCCAGATCTGATCTTGCATCATTGTTGGTGCAAATGTAATGTCTCGTGATGTTAGCCACTTTATAAGTGACATTTTTGTCCAGCATTGATTTGGACTTTTTTCTACCAATCCTGAATGGTAAGAAGCGTTGTCCATAATTATAAGAGAAGGTTCATCCAAGTTCGGGATCAATTGTTGTTCAAACCACTTCTCAAAGTTAAGGCAATTCATGGAGTCATGATAGTCTCCGGACTTGCTACCAGATTTAAAAATTAGACTTGCGTTTGGTACAAATCCATCTTCTGATCCTGCATGGAGTATTATATACCGGACCCCTTCACCACTTTTTTTTCTAACTGTTTTGAGAGTACCATCTTGCCAGCTTCTTCTAAAAGACCCTTTACTGTATATCCAGGTTTCGTCTAAAACCACAGGTCGTAATGGAAAGAGTAAAGTTTCGTTGTATTTAAAGTCTCTCAAAAATTGTAGTCTTCTTTGAGCTACATAGAGCTGTTCCATTAAAAATAATCTATTAGAAACGGTGCATCTCCGCCACGTGAATTTCAGTTTCTTCAAACTGCGGGATAAAGAGGTAGCAGATATTTCTACGCCATCAAGTCGTTGAAGATTACTGTGTAAAGAACGGAGTGTAACATTCTCACCTATAAAATCAATTCAATACCTAAGTGTTCTCGCGAACATCTTCATTCTGTGTATCGGTTCGTCATATTTACCTAATTGTAACGGTAATGACCTAAATTCATGATATGAGGGAATCGAACGTTTATGTAAAATTTTTAAAATACTTGTCTGTTAACGGCGTTGCTGCACTGTGGACTTGCCTAAGCGTTTTCAACTTTGATGATATTTACTTCACTTTTAACACAAACTACCTAATCAAAAGGCATTTAACACTGGAAATCTGTCTATAACGAAAATCGTTTGACGGATTGATATTATATTGACAGATCAATAATTGGTTTATTTGTCACGACTTACGTTAATGACGTAATTTTTTTGTCTCAATCGATTTAAATGTAATGAAGAGAGAATCACATTTATGACGTCAGGTTCAGCACCAGTGAAACAAAGTATACCCGTGACACCACTCCGCGACACGGACAGCGTTCGCTTAAGTTATATGATTTAAATGAAATTTAGTACATAGGCGTTTGGAATAAAACAAATGTGAAGCCAGTTTCAAAATTTGGTTTTGCGCATGCGGAGTGCCAACTTTCTTATTTACCAAAGCATTTAAACGAAAAGTGATACTTAGACACTTGTAATAAAGGCAATTCTCCTGAAAAATAATCAGCGGGAGATACTCTAATGAAAGGTAATGAAATTACATCCCAAAGAGTAACTAATCTTTTCGGAGAAAGGTTGTTAATGTGGAAATGCGCTTTTCGTAAATCGTTTACGATTTCTTTTTTAATTTGTTTTGAATTATTATTATTATAACCAATAAAAGCCATTATTATTATTCTTATTCCGCTATCGATCGACACCTTTTACGCAATAATTCCTCGGAACGAGGCTTCGTGAGTTTTTACTAACCCTTCTTAATTTTCGAGCGTTAAGCCCCTTGCTTTTAGGACAATCTTCACGGCTACACAGTTCAAGAGGTTATGGCTTTGACAGAAGAACTCATCATGCCCAAAGCTTCCGCTGGCGTCACTAACAAAGCTTTACCCATAGATGCTCACCTCTAAACGGGGGTGGGCAAGCTTTAAAAATAATGTGGCTATAATTAACTACCTATACATATAAAAATTAAAAAAGAAAATTCAAATATTTAATAAAAGAAATGGAAATTATGCAGTTTTGTATGATAAATTAATACTAAAGAAAATTGTTATATAAAAAAGAAAAAATCGAATTAGGAAACCAGGTAAAAGTCAACAAAATTAATAAAAATGACTTGCAAAAGAATAATCATGACTTTGAGAACATTCGAATAACTGAAATTAAAAATAAAATTGATAGAAATTGCGAACATAATGGCAACAAGAAACACCGCAGAAACTGAAACCATATATTCAAGAAAAAAAAGTGGAAACCTTTGGATACTAAATAGACTAACAATATACAATTAATTACCCACCATGGCTTGTTTAATTCATACTCCTTAAAAATAGGAAAAAATGAAAATCCTATGTGTTGCTGGAAGACATATTAAAAACAGTGGACATTTATATTTATGATTGTTATAATTTCAACACAGAACGACTAAACTTTAAAGACATGTTACCTTCAAAATCAATTATCGAATGGCCAATACTCAAAAATTATTTGTTAAAAAGTGAATCACGAAATTTTTGGGCGACTACTGCATTAAAGTTCAAAAAACCAAGTTAAAACAAATTGTAGAAAAGAGACTATTTAATATGCAGATTGCAGAGACCTCCACGGGGTTAGGCACGCACAACCAAGTCTAGGTAACCGTTCAATTTTTAAGGAAAATTAAAATCCTAGGTACGGCTAACGTCTGCATATAAAATAAATAAAAAAAGATTAAAAAATCATATAGCCTGATAGCTGAAAATGTGAAATACTAACTTAAAAAAACTACCTTATTGGCCATTAACACATTTTGAGACAAAAACCAAATTTCACAATAAAACAGAAACATATCATAAAGAGTCAAATACAAATACTAAATGAAGCAAAAACCTAAAGTACAACAAGCTGGTAGTAAACGAAGTACGGGATACGGGTACCTGTTGGTAGACTGACTGAGTGCAGGTATTGATTTGAAACGCAAACTATTTAATCTATTTTTGTATGCTTATTTTGCGTGAGCGTTTTTCTCTTCTTAAATTTGAATGTTTTTAGATAAAAAATGCTCATGCAAATTTAGTAGAAAATTAAGATAAAACTTTAATTTTATCAATTCCCGTGTGGTTTTCGTAAGCCCTTGCGCCTTTGGGGCCGAGTACTTTACTTTCCGAGTCAGGGAATGCCATTTTACTGACGAGTTTTGTATTAAATTTCACCCGAAATCGTATGTTAATATAAAATTTCATTTTTTATATAGAACTTTTGCTTAATGCCAATCTGTCAGTGATGACAGGAGTCATTATAGACATTTAGCAATGTCACAGATGAGGCCGGTAAAGTGACGGTGCGGCTGGTAAAGTGACAGGTGCGGCCAGTGAATTAACGTTGTCTCAAAAGTAAACAGTCCAGTTTCCAACAGTTTCCAATTATTTGAAGGTGCATGAAACGTGAATGAACACAGAAAAACAACTTGATCCCTTAATTTATTTAACAAAAGATACCAAATCTAACTCAATAATCCCCCTTAAACCTCTATAATATGTGGAGGTTTTAAATTTAATAAATTTTGTAAGTATTTCTCTTGTTTTTTTACTCGTTCTTCGCGACACAATGCGGTGTCACACGCCATTACAAATAAAAAAGGGTTTATAACCTAATAGGTATGGGGAATTTGCTTAAATTTCGTAATTTAAATGCGACTTTCAAGTGGGAGCGCTTTCGTTTTTCAGGAAATTTTCGCTTCAAATAATGCCCTTTATTTTTGAATAATTAACTTACCTGCTATCGTATACGTATTTATGTAGTAATTACACCTTGCGTAATATTAAATCATGCTTCATGGTTGTAACCAAAAGGTTGCTGTCGTCATACATTCTCTAAAAAAGAGGACAAATAAATCTTTCGTAAAATGTTCAGGCCGTTACACTTTCCATCTGAAGCATATTATTAAAACTTCCGTTTCGCAATTTTTAGATAGATTATTGTATTAGTTTTGTTATTTTTGTAGAAGAACCGTGCGTCCTATACTGTATAAATGAAAGGAGGGTCTACTCCAAATTAGCGCCTAGGGTTAAGGATGGAACGAAATGTAAAAGCGGAACCAAAGACATGTGCATTAGTGGAAGCTGCAAAGTAAGTGCTCGAGCAAAGCTCGATTTATTTCAAGTTTGATATAGAAGGTGGGATGCGATTACATTATTGACTCGGATGCGATTGAGGACCAATGCGGAATTTGTAAGGGCGACGGCACTCAGTGCAAAATAGTCGAGGAAACGTATTACGATGCTCCCGGTCATGGTAAATTCGCTGGGAGTGCCTAATCCGATATTAATAATACGTTTCAGGATACGTGAAGGTGGCGACGATAATGAAGGGTAGTCGTAATGTCTATTTTGACGAACTCAAACCTTCGGACAACACAATTGCCGTTAGTGCCGCCGACGAGAAGAAGTTTTATTTAAACGGCGACTTGTAAAATTGTTAACCCGGCACACAAATGCCGCCTAATGAATTGTGACATTCCTTTTAGCACGGAACAACAGGATGGAGTTCACGACGTTGGGGGTGTCGAGGGTATCTACAATCATCCTGAGCCTAACAAAGAAAGTTTGGTAATATACGGCCCATTGAAAGAAGATATTGTGTTATTTGTAAGTTTCAATGTTTCTCCGTTCTGATTACACTACGCGCGCTTTCAAATTTTGCTTTTGTTAGTTTCTTTTGTTCATCCGTTGAGTTCATGTTAACCCCTAATGTAGGGTTATTATACTACACAATAACACTTGCCTCGGCACAATTAAGCGAATAGGTTAGGATTATCTAAAATTCTGGTGGCAAAGGAAGCGGCAAGAGAGATAAGGAGCTTTAAAAATAAATTATGTATAAGAGTGCACCACCCTTCAGTTCAATGATATGTAAAGCCGTGATAGATGAATTTAGTTACATTGTATCGTACACTTTTTGCTTTACAAATCTATTGAACACTCGAGGTTATATCGTGGAAAAAGAAAAATTCCAAATTTAATACCACGGCTTAATCTGTTACTGTCATCCCGGTTTAAGTTTAAAAACTCGGCAACTGATTTCCGGCATTTCATCGTGCAGTTTTTACGGAAATCGCTCCCGTTCTAAAAGAAACTTACAATATAACCTTTCACTACAGTAAATTGCTCTTCTATTCATTAGCAATACTTTCAGGAAGCTATTACATTGGTTTTTGCAATGGATACCACTTTGTTTGTTCCTTTGTAGTTACCATCTATATAATCGTGATATTAGAAAACAAGCATTACGTCTATTCGGTCTATTCTCCAGAAAAATTCTCTAAATAAGGATTTAAAAATGAAAATTGCACGTATAATCATAAAAATGAATTAAATTCCCATATTCAGGCGAGGTGTTTCATCCTTTCTCCTGGTGAAATTGGTATCTATCATTTGTTTCACTTTATCTACGTTTACGGTTAAAGTGATCACTTTATTTATTCTTACGATTACATTCAAACCTATTAAACTGTTATTTTAACATATGCTAATAAACAATATTTTGCACTTGCTAGAACTGGAGCTACGGAGGTAAGACTCAGATGGTGTTTCGAAGGAAGCATTCATTATACAATATACCTCCTGTTTTATTTTAGTTGACTCAGCGGATATCTCGGCCACTGTTAGAGATACGACAAAACCGAGGACAAAACGTTACAGAAGAAAAGTTGTTCTACATTTAATTTTGAATTATTATTATTGTCACAGCGGTTTAGGATATTTGGGCGCGGTCGTTTGGGCGGGCCGTGTGGGCGCAGCCGTTTCAACGTGGGGACACTTGGACCCGAGACATTTAGGCGCGAGGAAATTTATCAAAATGTGTTAGTAGCCAAATTTAGAATTTTATGAAACTTCATTTTCCAGTAGGTAAATACCAAAACATCTTTTTTGAAGAAACTTCTTTATTTCTATACGAATTTATTTCAAAATTTATTTATTATAAGTTTAAATTATTTTCTAGCGCCCAAGAGTCCCTGCACTCAAACGGCTGCGCCCAAACGCCCAAATATCGATTTATGTTTTTAAGTGATTCGATAATTTTTGTTACGTTCACTTTGAGGAAACGTAACAAAATTGCCTGTGGAGAAGCAGACGGTAAGCTGAGGCAAGTAAGTCGGGGTGAATGATGTTTTCTCACACACCAGCTAAAACGAAAAAAAATATAGTAAACCGGATAGGCGCCATTTAATCTTTAGTACATTTTAAAAAAAAAATAAAAGATAATGCTTACCGAAAAGGAGAACAAGGCAGACTACGAGATCATTGTTCTTGTATACTTGATAAGCTAAAGAAATGAAATAATTGACAGGATAGAGCTTCAACAATAATTGTGGTCATTCATTAAAAATGATCTCAAAATATTACAATTAGGACACTGCAATATGTTGATATGAAATCACAACGTTTAATTTTAACTCAATTTTTAGCAAAAAAAAAGGAGATAAACTCGTAGTTAGGAAATTACAACAACAATATCAAACAGGCTTCTGTAGAAAACATCGGACTATAATTGTTAAAACATTATGAAACAAATATAGTAATTACTATATCGAAAACGAATATGTAATCAAACGTTATATCAAGGAGTGATCAAGGAATAAATAAATAAATAAATAAATTAGTGCTTCTGTGACAACAATAGACGTGGACATGTGACAAAATGTGTAGTTTGAGTTAGATTACCCTTTGGACGTG